TTGGCTAGCTTTTCTTGATTGAAATCACAAAATCCTAAACCCGCAACCCTAATCCCCACCCCACCCCTTGAACCTTGAGACGGAAAACCCAAGTCCTGACCTCTAAGTTTTTAAACCCAAGCCCGGAGTCCTCATCTCAAATCCTCTAGGACAGCTCTCTTCTGAAGCGAGAGTTCTAGCCGGTAATGGTATACCTACTCATGCTTAGTTGGGATGAAGACTACCATAAGGAAACATGACTCTTACTGGATTTCCTGTCCCTTACCCCAACTGAGCATGAAAATGGGGTAGCTTCCCTTATTAGGGGACCCCAAAATACTTTAATCCTTTCAGGGACCCCTAGAAAGGTACCACTAATTCTGTATTTTTGGGAACCCCCCCTGTATCAATGCCAACCTCCACATTTCTCGCAAGCCTTGAACCTTGACTATTAGCTCCAGACCATGAAGCCTACCTTGAGATCCAGTTGACTATAATTAATATCAACCTTATACTAAATTCCTACAACTGTGTACCATAAATACAGTCAACTAGGATCTCCAGTTACATCCTACACCCTGGAGGCCCTAAACTGGAATTGATACTCTAAACCTCAAGTCCCTGGTATATGTATATACATATATCCTAAAGCCCCTGAACACTCAAATCTTATAACATGTGTATATCCATATATGTATACATATCCCAAATCCCTTCACCCTTGGTGCCCTAAACCCAAAGCCCTAAACCACTTCACCCTTAGGGGATCTGACCAAGCTCGGCGGAGGCTGTGATGATGGCTGCCATCTCCTGCGCCGTATGCGCCATCATGCTAACTCACGTTAGGGTTTGGGGCTTAAGGCCCCAAGGTTCACCTTTTGTTAGCTATGCATGAAGGAATTGATCCCTACAGTGGTCATCCCTGAATAACCCATTACATACAGTAGTTTCCATGTTCTTCTCCATTCATTCATTCATTCCCAGCCAACTAAAGGAAAGAAGGGTCCAAGTCCACAAAAAAACGAAGACTTGAGGCCCTTCAGGCTTGGGACATATTTCTTGTAGTGCAGGTGTTGGGGAAGTATTTGAGCTACAGTCAACATTTCCCCGTATAAGAAAAAGTGGCCACGGGTTCCATGTTAAGGAATATATCAGGGGCTAAACTACCACAGTGATACCCATGTCCATCCTTAATGGTCCCTTGGTAAGCCTACCATCGACGTAGCTGATGTCAGTATTGGGTACTTGGACCCTGAAAATTGGCTTTGACGCGTTAGAGGTTAGGGACCCTACACCCAAAACTCTAAACCCAAAACCCTAAATTCGGCGGGGTCCCTGCCCCCTGCAGTGTTCCTAGAGCAGGGCCTGTTGCCCTGCTTTTCTGAAGCTCACCCAATATGGCTACTCGTGGTCCTGCCCATGTACCCTTCAATACTACAATCGTTTTTGAGGGTCTAAGAATGCTCTAGCTTCTTGGAGAATGGCCGGGCTAGTTGAACCCAATCTCTCAGTGGAACTGGTCACGGAATTGCTGGAGGCCTCTCTCACCAAACTTGACCAAGAGTTTAGGGTCCAGGGGCTCATGTTTGCTAAGTGCGATGAGCTGGGTTGAAAATTCATAGGGCTTTGGCTTCGTGGGAAGATTCTAGGAACTAGATGTAGTGCTTCGTGGGATAGGCGTATGTTAAGGGTGCTCTCCTACAGAACAGCAACTTCAACTTTCTAATGGATTTTGCGTTATGCAGGCTTCAAAGTTATGTTGCTTGCCTGCCAGGCCTTTCTCAAGAAGAACGGTGCATTGATGTGACCGAGGCCTTCAAGGAAATGGGGGGCAACCTCCCAAAGCCTTGATTGTCCTCCACAGGAAGTCACAGAAACAACTTGCATAGCATCCGTACTCAAAACGGCTGTCAGGGATCACCCAAATCCAAGGCACTGTGCTAGAGTCCAGGTTCTAGAAATCCTGGCGGTGAAAACATATGTGGAAAGCCCCAACTTGTGAATTGCAGTGTTCATGGAAACAGGGTGCTATTGGGCATACAAGGTAGTCAACATCTGTGGGGTAGTCCTATAAAGACAGTCAGGCGAAATACAGGGCGTTTTGCGGACGACATCATGCCGTCCAGACATATAAGTCATGTAGGCTCTCTCGGAGCTATGTTGGACACCGTGCTTCATGGAGCTGTGGCAACCCATAGGAGCACCTTAAACCTAAGTCCTACACCCTAAAACCTTGAATCCCAAACCCTCGGACCTAAATCCTAATGTCTCTCGCTCTCTCTCTCTCTCTCTTTCTCTCTCTCGGATTTACTCCCTAAACCCTAAATCCTAAACTCTAAACCCCAAAACCCTAATGGACCTGCAATATTCGGACCGTTAGGAAGTCCTTTCCAGAACTATTCAGGTCTACAAGTGAGCAGCAACCCAAGGCTCTAAACCCTACGCCCTAAGCCTCCCAAATTGACCCCTAACCTCTACCAACACCCATACAGTATGTTTAGGGTTTAGGGTTTAGGGTTTCGGGTTCGACCCCTAACCTCTCCCTAAAACCCATACTCTACGTAAAATGATGGCGTTTGAGGCTGCTTCAAAAGGTGTTGAACCATTATTTACCCACCTTGGAAGCTTAGGTAGTCTCTCAAACTCTGAGCCTTGAACACTAACGGCCCTAACCCTGAATCCTAAGTCCTAAGCCCTAAGCAATCAAGCCAGGGGAGGGCAGCAACAAGGGGAGACCTCGGGCGTGGCACTCGCCAAGCGAGCCGCCATCAGTGCACCAACTGAGCTAACTCCATCCTCAGTCCGCAGGAGTCCGTGTTTAGGGTTGGAGGCTACTGAAACAAAATCAAGGTTCACCTTTCGTCAGATTAATCTTCAATCACTTGGGTCCTGCCCCCACCCATTAACAGCTTATGATAGGGGTTAAGGGCTATATATAATTATATTATGAATAGCATCCAACTGTTAATGAGTGGGGCAGTACCCAATCAATCACCTTCAACACTACAAGTCCAATACTTGTGTAAGGTACCCGATTTTGAGCTTGCAGGGTGTGGAATCAGGGTCTTGGACCTTCAGAAATGGTAAGGAACCTGGGCCAGGCTATCGTTCGTTCAGACCTGTTAGGAAACCTGTGAAGAGATGTGATTTGAAGGGTGTACTTCAACCACGTTAACCTCGATCCGCGTAGATTCTTGTCTAAACACCTCAGGGGGTTCGGTGTTCGCTTGCCCAAACTACTATGGAACCGCCGCAGGGGCATGTACACCCTCCTAACTAACCTTACTGGGGTTAGGAGGCAATAAGGGAATACGTTATATATAGGAATTATATGGGGCGATATTCCCTATACCCCTAACCACAAGTAAGTATCATGGGCACGGGAGCGGGGCCCTACAAAGATTACTCTCCACTTCTCTGCAATTTGCAAGGGGGGTGAGTGGGCTTGCATGTGGGGTGAGTGGGCTTCCATGTGGTAGTTTCCCAAAATAGGTGGACCCAACCCAATGTGTACCCTAATACACTATAGTCCTTATTATGGGGAACCCCAATAAGGTACCCCCAATTTTGGGAAACCCGCATGTAAGTCGTGGGGAAAGTAAGCGCCCTGCGCCGACGACAGCGCTTCGCACCTTAGCCCAATGAGAAGATGGACTATGGTGAGAAGCCATGCGCAAGTAATGTAGGGGTTATATAGGGTTTTAAAGGCTTTATAGGGTTGTATGAAGGTTTCTAGGGTATAATTTCGGGGTTATAAAATGGCAGGCACAATTTGAGCCCCACATGTCTTCCCTTGAAGTGGAAAACAATACTCGTGTCGCCGGACTATCTTGCTCCACACGTGGCTCGTCTGTTTACTGGGCAGCTGGCCTGTACTGCTGCAGGTCTAATACCCTCCCCTTATAATCAACCCCCACATCCCCTAAAATCGCTAATAGCTGACTCACCCTGCATGAAACACTCAGACGATGTGGGGGGAGACATGTCTCTACCTTTTCCGAAGCTCTTGTAGGAACTATACTATCATCTGGTTCCTCGGATGATGAACGGTAGAAATATAAAACATCAAGGAACTTGAAGAAGAAGTATCATGTTGGCGGGAGATGGTTTAGGGTAGCTGAATAGGCATGGGGACTACAGGACCCATTTGAAGCTTTACACTCTGTAAATGGTACATGGTACCTACTTTGGCCCTATGCTTCCATGACAGCACCACCACCTCCCCTGCTTTTCTGCACAGGTGTAAGCACAGCGCAGCAATGCCTACTTGGAGGGTCATGGGGACTTAGAAAGTAAGTTAGTAACCCCTATAAGCCATATAATATTCGCAAATATCTCCAGTACTAACCTACTTACTAGGTCCCCATGACCCTCCAAGTAGATCCCAGCCGGCCCAGCAGGATCAGGGTTGGTAACTCTGTCACCTAGTAAGCAACCCTCGCAACCCCCCCCCCCCCTCGAAGAAACATCCCCAATGTAACACCGCTACAACATAGGGGAAGTTTACTTTGCCAGGAGTGTGTGATTTCGGTATGCATCTGGCGAGGAGATTAAGCGGGCTTCAGCCTATGTATTCCCTGACCCCACTAGCAGGCTCATTCTAGATCTAGGAGCAAAAAGAGCAACTTCTAACAACCCACACCATTCGCAGTTCATGTGGCAGTTTCGGCACCTCAAGCGCCGTAGGCAGCAGAAACTCCGATTTAAAGAATTCGACTGCTTGTGGAAAAGGGACCCGAACATGTACCCCAGCGCGACCTTGAGAAAAAACTTCTTCTGCTGAATTATTTAGGGATTATATAGGAGAGTCTTTTATATCCCCAATAATGGAGAATCAGCTGGAAAAGAAAATGAATGAACACTGACATAGAAACTGGGATTATATAGAGGGCTATAGGGACTTGGGACCTTACACACATGCTGAAGTGACCACAGCTATACGTGTAATCATGCAGTGCGAAAAAACGATGAACCTTTGATCGCTTTGCAGGCGCCTTGTTGGGTCCCTTTGGGACCTGGCCTTAAAGCTTCGGGTAGCTGGAGTCTGACAGTATGCCACACATCCCGCAGACCGGCAGAGATGATGGGCCACCTTGCAATCCAATGCTGGTGGTCTTGGGGCGGTTCCAATAGTCCCTGCACATCCCTACGCAATCCCAGTCTCAGGGGGTGGGGAGGTTCAAAACTAGGTGAGGGGATGAAACATGGGCTATTTTCTGAAGGAATCTACTACAGTAAGTGGTTGCAGGAGAGCTAGTTCTGGCTTGGCACACACTCACATCTACAGTTCGCTCTGCACCAAAGAATGGATGATGAGCCCTAAATCCCAAACAGAAAGCCCGGGATCCTAAATCTTGAGCTCACTTCAACAATGACAAATGCCGGGCAAAACCTTGCTCGAAGAATCTCTTCTTCAAGAAGACTTAGGTAATCAAATGCCGCTGATGCAAACTAGACCGCCGTGCCTTTAAACATAGGCAACAAGGTCCCTCAAACTGGACATTTGGGTCATCATGTTAGTGTGGTGGAAGGCCATTTAAAACCGTGAACAAAGTCCCAAGATATAGTAGTTCCCGGTAAGAAGGGGTCAGGAAAATGGATAGTGTAATCCTTACTACAGGGTCTCCCAAAATGGTACCCCTAATTTTAAGAAACTCTAATTCCTCAGCCCGAAAAACCTTTATGAACCCCCAAGTCCCCTAAACCCAAAATACCCTAACCCTAAACCCTAAACCCCCAAGTCTCCTAATTTTGGGAAACCTCCATAGGTCCAAGTCGCCGCGGCACCCAACCCCGACTTTTGGGTCGTAGTCTGTGCCGCAATACCCTCAGCTGCCGCACAATTATGACATGGGGCTTTCCCAACAACCCTAAACCCAAAACCCCTTACGCAGGGATGAATGGAGAGTACAAGGATGGGGGCTCTCTCTCAAATGGAATAGGACCTTTTCTTACATGCTTACGATCTTCTGGTCATGAGGTGCTAGTCCGAAAGCCTCACTTGGCTGAAGCAATTTGGAGGGGCCAACACGCCTGAAATCAATAGCCTTCATCGAAGCCGCCGTTGTGGCCTCCATTCGCCTCATCTCCTTCGTGACGCAGGAGGCGCATGTAGCCGTTTTCTCCCCAGTCTGCCCCCCAGGAGTTGCGAATCAGCCAATACTTCCTGCCCTTCCTCAGCTAGCAGACAAGAGGGCTTTTTGGGCGTCCTGATTTCATGGACAGCAGATCCATAATCCGCAAGAACCCATGCATAAAAACATTCGCAGCAAGTCCAGGCAGAATGCGATGTCTTCTCTCTGCACTGCCTCAATCATTGAAATCATTGAAGGCTGTGCCTAAACCCTAAACCCTGTAGAAAGGAGCCAGCAAGTGTGGTGGCGGCACAACTTAAACATGTCATCTTGCAAAAGCCGGAGGGCCCAAAGAGCCAACCGCAAAGTATAAAGTACAGTGCTTGGTATTAATGCAGTACTACAGCAGTTAACGTTGGGTTTGGGGAAACACGCGCTTCATCAGCTGCTTGGACACTACAGGTAAGTATTTAAGGTGTTCCTCAGCACTGTGTTGCGCATGCGTGTTTTCTTGGCGAGAGAAAATTGAATGCTCCCCATCCCAGTGGCTGTGCAGGAAATTTTGCTCTTCAGAAAACCTTGCGATACTGCACGCAAAATGGGAAGAGAAGAAAATCCTAGCACCTCAACCCTCCCCTTTCCCCAAACAAACATGGAGCCCCATATGATATCCTTCACAAGGTTTTTTAAGGGTCACGTGGCATGGTGTCGGGGCTTTGAATAAGACTCCATACGTGTCTATATGAGCTATAGACCATATTTACAGATTTTTTTCGGCAAAATTAGCCGCCAAAGACTACTTTCAATTAGGTGGAATTTCGTATGGGGAANNGAAAAGGGACTAGATTTAAAGATTTTTTTGGGTGACCAATCCTGAAAATCGAGACATTCAATGCCTTCCTATTCATTTTTAGTTGGTAGACGTCCAAGAGCCCCGATGACGCGCGAATGCATTCCTATTATTTCTTAATTGAAGTCCAGGAACCCGAATCATTCTTTTAATCTGGCGCCCTCCATTTCTTATTCTGGCGGGGGGGAGGGGGGCGGGGCCAAAATTAAACAAGTGCTAGGACTAAACTCCTGGTATACCCCTTAATAAGCCCTCTAATGCTCCCCTGTGAAATCTCCTATATAACCACCCTTCAAGCAGTTTGGACTATGGCTCATATGCACCTGGGAGCCGTAAGTTGAACTCACAAAAGGCCGGGATGCGGATCTACGCCATAGCCGACCAAGAGGACAGCATGGTTGATGGTGGCGTCCTGAAGCGGGATCGGAACTAGGAAATTGCATGGAAGCCTCCGCTGGGAAATTGCATGGAAGCCTCCGGATTTGATAACAACCCTACTATTGCTGCCCCAGTCTCTCTGCAGTTCTTTGACATCTGCAAGACTGACAAGACAAACAGAAACCCAAGGCTAGACACCCCGTAGCGTAAGCCTTAAGTTTCAAGCCAACTCGGACTTGAAATCAACAAGGTCCACCCTCCAGGAAGGAACCTCAGATGCAAACCTGCCTGCCTAACCTGCCGCAAAACCTGCGCGCCATCAGTTACCATGCTACACTACTGCTATTGCCATGACTTTCTACTAGGTTCTGGTTCGTCGACCCTTTGGCTACGCTGCACTGCTGGACTCACATCTTCGGCCCTCGTCCCACACCTAGACACATAGAATCGAGTTCCAGACCAGGAGGTTCAGGGTGGAGGTTCGGGGTTCAGGGTTTACCCTATATAGCCCAAAGTAGGTGCTAATTACGGACTTTAGGGCTTTAGGGTCCAATGTAAATATTGTTTCTAGACCCTAGGGCCCCACACACGGAGCCCCAGGGCAGAAAGTTCTGGGTTTCACTGAAGCCTAAACCCCAAACCCTATTCACTCCCTTGCATGATCTTGCATGGTTCCTGCTGGCATCCATCGAAGATGCCCCCGTCGTAGCTGGTCCACGCCTCTGCATCCACCGAGACGACCGCAGGGCCCTTCCTCCGTGTCTGTGTCAGGTTTTTGGATTTAGGACTCACATTTTCGCGAGGTCGGGGGCCTTGGGTGCCGTGAGGAGACAATTCTGGGCATTAGAAGGAGGTTCTGGAACAATCTAGAGGATTATTGGTGCGTGTTTTATGGTAGTTCTTGTGCATTATACCATATTCCCCGACCCACCATCACATTACAACCAAAAGCGGGACGGGAACCCCAAAGATTCCATCTGCGAACACAACTGGATCCCTCATTCAAGCCTTCTTTGCGAGTGATGGACTCTCAGAGATTTTGAATTTTCAGGAAGCCGTGGAAAGATAACCGTTGCCCTAGGGGTTCAATTGGTTGAGGGTTTAGTTTAGGGTTTGGGTCCAGCATACAGAATCATATACCCTGGGGTCCTTATAATGGTAGTGGTTGCTCAGGTTTTGGGGAAAAAAAGTAAAATTGGTTGCATCTGAGGGTTTGCAGGTTACATGTGAGGATCTGGATTTCTGGGGTTAGGAGTGTCCCTAAATCCTAGCTAAAAAACCTAGATTCTGGAGCCCTAAACCCTACAGTACCTTTGTAAGCGAAGTTTAAACCTAAGACCTAAAATCTAAACCCTAAAACCCTAAACCCTACTCTAAAACCTAAACCCTATAGACCAAACCCACTCTAAAAACTAAAGTCTCTCAGCACTACGATATTTCAAAAATGGTATTCATGCACTTTGCAACCTTAGGGTAAAGGTTTTGGAGCTTTGGCAGTGGGAATGGGGACAAAGCTGCAACAGCGCGTGTTTGCAACTGCGTACCCAGAGAGCCCAACATACCTTGATGAAGCAGTACCCCTCAAATCATAATTGGATCCCGAAGCATACCATTAGGATGTTGGGGCCCTTAGAGTGTGCCCTTGCGCTTTCTGAAACTCATGAAATTGAAGCGCCTCGTCTCGGGGTCAAGTCTGAACTTTCAAGGTCAGACAGCTTGGAAAACTGAACCCTCGACCGCAGAAAAGTATGCAGTAAGCATGGTCAATTTCTTTTGCCCAGCTCATCACGATTTAGAGTTGGGACTTCGCATTCGTCAGTACCCACTTGCCAACAGCGATGTTCCTATGTCTCTTTGAAACCTAAAGCTCCCACCCTACAAGAAAAAGGAAGTCACAAGTGGTTGACTGTGTCACGGCAGGCTTCTCTGATATCGTGGTGAGGAGTGGCAGCAGCTGATTCTCCTGAGTATGTTCTCAGCTGAACGTGCGGAAATAACAGGTTCTCAAAAATGGGCGACCATAGGAATACCTATGGGTTCTGAGGGGAATTGGGGGGCCCTTTCTTGGGGAGTACATGCAAACGAGTCAATAATGATGGGTTATGCCAAGCAATATGCAACAAGAGGAGCCAGTGGTAGGAGCTTCTGGGCATTCGACTAGAACAGCGTGGCAACTTGCGGTAGGGAATGCAGACATGCCATTCAATTAAGAAAATTGATGATCCCTTCTTTGGCGGTGTTTTTACTAACCCTGGATCAAATTAGCCCAAACTTGGTAGATTCTACAGCCTTTAGGCTCCAATGTAGGTATTACTTGAAAAAAGGGGGACATCTAAAGGATCCTCCATGTCATGGCAACTCCCATAAAGCAAGGACCGCCTGCAAATTGCCCATTTGCCCTGAGAGCTCAGGATCTGTGAGTACCTGATACCCCACGACGTGCAGATTACTGGCCTTTGGACCATGTCCAGGGGTTTTAGGCGTATATTTCACGTGCTTTGCAGTTCAGGCAATCCAGCTTCAAGCTCGACAGCAAAGAGTCCAGAACACAGCGAGCTATGTACGGTTGACGGACAATCCTGCATGACCCGAGCTATTTAGGTACAGTGGGCCGTGCAGGATTCTTCATCATCAATATGAGTATGGCCCATTGGCTTCACCACCTGAGGCTGACTGAGGGGTGGCACTTTACATTACCCATTGCTCATGCTTCGTTGGGAACGGAGCTACCGGGCCAAACAAGAAGAGTTAATATTTCGGGGAGTAGGAACTACTATGGAAGTCTTTGACTAGTTCGATCGAACACAAGAGCTTTAATCTCAGCGGTGTGGTCCCCGATCACCAGCAGGCTCCTACATAGTTCCTTCCGGGATTTGTTAGCTTTAGAGGTGTATGGGCAGGGACAAAACAACGAGAGCCCTAAGGGTCCGAGGACCCAAATAATAGAGTTTTAGGGCCCAAATACCACTAATCTTGCAGTATTGGGGCCCTGAAACCCTAGTATTTGGGTCCTGGGACCCTATAGGGAGAATACACAAAAAACATCAGAAGCGAGCCCAAAACGGGGCGCCATCGGTAGCTGAAGGGATCCCAGAACACTGGCCCCTGTATTCATCAGATTTTCTCGCGTATTTGTATTTCTAAGAGTCCAAGGACCAGGACCCAACAAATTAAGGTTTTAGGGCCTAAATACCATTGATAATATAGTATTTGGGGCCTAAAGCCCAATTATTTGGGTCCTCGGACCCTTAGGGTATGTACATGCAATTGAATGCAGTAAGCTCTGAAAGCTGACTCCCTGCCCCTGAGCAAAACTGTATACAGCTTCACTCATTTCAATGATGCCACGTACATTGAGCAAAAAGACCTGGATGGCATCTTGCTCGAACTTTTCGCATGCGTTGCGAACCGAATTCAACCGTTTTTGAACAGGCAGCTTGTAGTTCGTAAGCCAGAATACACATAAGGAGTGCTCAGAATGCTAGAAATGGCCATTCTGGCGGGCACAGCTGTTATCTTTCGAAAAGCCTTCGAGGTTGAGACCGTTCATGATCATCTGTTCCAGAGGGTTCATGTACCCAATAATGAGGTATTTGGGTTTTGGGAAACAGTGATTATGGTATGGGTTTTGGGCAAGTATATGATAATTAGGTACTTGGACCCTTTGAATGCAGTACCATTGCTGGGGAGGGTGGTCGACCTGCAAACCTGCAACTGCTAGGAAAAATAACCCATAAAGCTCCAATTGAGGAATGCTCAAGGGCCGCATATGGGCTATAGTCTACACTCCTAGTATCCCCCTTAGTAACCCTTATAGTAGTCCCCTATATAATCACTTGTATAACCCCCTTTAGGCAGCTTAGACTATAGCTCATATCAAGACGTAAACCCTGTAGGCCCTAAGGCTCCCCAAGGCCCCCATCTTGTCTCCAAATAAGGGCCTGCAATACACTAAACCCTACCCTAAACCCCTATACCCTAAACCCCTAAACCCTAAACCAGCTTCAAGTAGTGGCCGCAATCATTCCCTGCTTTGCCGAAGTCTCCGGCAGCTTGACGAAACCTTTGGTGCTCAACGCGGAGGTCGGCTGCCTCGAAAGGAGGGGCTTCGAGTTGAAACTATAACCCTAGAAGCCCAGGTACCCATATAGTAGGTAAATAATTATATAGGGTCTTAAGGACAGGAACCCAATATATAGGTAACTGGGCTTCTAGGGTAACCTAAAGGATCGTAAGTACCTATAAGGAGTACTAGCCTAAACCATGTTCTTAATTCCTAGTACGGAAATCGAAACTATGACCTAAAGGATCCTAAGTACCTATAAGGAATACTCGCCTAAATCATACTATTTAATTCCTAGTACAGAAATCCGACTTTGTACCATACAGATACTTAGGATTATTTGGGAGCCTATAGTTTCGGTTCAGGGTTTTGGGGGGTCTTTAGGATTTAGCCTACAGATCCGAAACCCTCCAGCAAGGAGTAGTGACAGCGTAGAGGTTGGAGGAGAAAGAGGACAACATGAAGATGCCATGCAACGAACTCCCGTCTTCAAGTTTGATGGATGTGAGGGTTTCTTGGAATTAGGGGTACTTTTTTTGGGGGATCCCTATAATACGGACTACAGTATATTGGGGTCTATATTGGGGTACCTGAATTTTTTTGGGAAACTACCATGGACGTTGGGGCTGGCAAAGGAAGACTCTGGCGGCCAAACTCTGGCTGCAGGATTGTATGTCTATGCTTTCCTCTGGCAGAGGCTACTGCCAGAAGGTGCCTTGCTGCACAGGTTTAGGAGCTAAGATGCATGCAATGCCAGGCAAGGCCGGTACTGAAGGTCCATGCGGCCCAAAGTTTCAATTTAGAGATTTAGGGCTGAGAAATTTAGGCTCAGAATTTGACCGGAGTGGGTGAAGAAGCCAGTTCCCAATCTGGCCTTGACAAACAAAAACCCTGAATCCTAAACCCTACCTGAACCCTGGATGTCCTACCTTTTTGGGATATACCCTGCAAGAATGTAGGGCAGAAACCCCAAGTGGAAGGACCTAAACCCTAAACCCTAAACCCTAAACAACAACCTTATCCGCCCCCAAGCTCGTTCAGCGACATTCCGGGCAAGAAAGTTTGGCATCGGGTGACACCAAAATGCGAAAGGCAGACTGAAGCGATAAGCCTCCTAGACCCTGGTATGCGGCTTAGGCGTTGTAACCTGTAGGCTTTATGGCTTCAAGATCGTTGAAAAACAAAGTCAGGGTTTAGGAGTAACCGCAAGTTTGATCGAGTGAATGGCAATCTGTTTCAATTGACGGCATATGTTGCATTACCCTCATGCTGACGGCTGCGTCTTGCCTAATTACCGAACATCAAACCCAGTAGCAAGCTCCATCACATCCTGGAAACTTAAGACAAGCGCCGTCACGTAAGCTATATAGGGGCCATGAAGGGGGATACTAGGAGTTTGGACTATAGCAGCTAAAGTCCGAACTCCTAGTATCCCCCTTCATGGCCCCTATAATACTCCCGTATATAAGCCCCCCCCCTTACAGAGTTTAGACAATTGCTCACGTGAGCTCACGGTGCAGTCATGTCCCGAAGGATGCGGGTTTCAATCTCCGGAAGTTAGCAGTTACATAGACGAAGGATGACACAACAAAGATTATCTGATATATTGCAGTTTATCTTGGAGCCCTTTGGTCTAGTATGCTGGCGTCTATTTCAAGGCCCTCTGGTATATAGCAGATAGTCCTCTGAATTCGAGCCCTCTATGCACGGAAAGCCCCCATATCAGGACAATGGCTCGGAGCTTTCGGACGCCGCGAGTCATCTAGATTGACGCACCAACGTGCAGCACAACTTCTTGTTCAACAATAGAGCCCTGGTGTGTCCCCATGTATTGGCGTTTTGTACGGGCGAGGAAGATGGATGGTCGGGGCGGGGATGGGACTCTTAGCTGCACGAACTGACAAAAAACATGTAAACCACAAAGCTCAAGCCCTCCATCAGATCGAAAGAAAGCAACCCAAGCAGGAAGCAACGGTCTGCCTGCACTTTCCATCCACCTCTGAATCTTTGTAGTCATCCTGGCAAGGCATAAAATGTCTCGGGAATTCTCCTTGAGAAGTAGGATCCCGGCTGCTGCCGAACTTAGTCCAGAATCCTAAGCCTCTGCGAAGTTCACGATCAAACACAGACAGCAACCCAAATAGGAAGTCTCTGTTGTGATGTTCACTCCCGTTTTTCAGATACAATGAAGCTATTCTGCAACCTTTCCCCAGCAGAAAACTGATCCGACATCAGCCTGTCATCCTCATCAGGCTTCAGAATTAGGGTTTTTCTTGCTTCGCCGGCCACGTTTTTTTCACATAAACCGCGGTTTCCGGGGGCCAGCAGTTAGGTCACCACACTTTCCCCCAGATTGGAACAGAAAGTCACGTCCGCACATTCCGGGAAGAACAAATGTTGACAGAATGAGAAATACAACATCGCCAGAAGCATATATGAGCTACAGTCTAAATTCCTTCAAAGGGTTGCATAGGAGATTATATAGGGGAGTATTGTACTGGTTATTCTCACCTCCCAATCTCATGTGATCCTTGACTTTTGACGGCATAATGCTACGCACAAAACCTCTTAAGCCTAAACCCAGAAAGGCACATGACAGCTTCTTCAAACAGCCTCCCCCCTCATGATCCCTTTTTGCCCAGCATCTCACATGCACCCAGAACCGAACAGCCCTAAACCTTAAACTCTAAACCCCGAAACCCTAAACTCTTAAACCCTAAACTCCTAAACCCTAAACTCTTAAACCCTAAACTCCTAAGCCCTAAGCCCCACAAGCCCTGACGCACATGGGTCCTCGGCAGCGATTCCATTCTCGTGAACATACTGAAAGGCGAGCTCCGCCTCAGAACTTGCATGGGGTTTAGCCCCAAGGGCACGGGTTTAGGGTCAAGGGCTCCAAGTATACAAATGATGCCTACATGTTGAACCCTAAAGTCCATGAACAATATTATCTATTGTCGGCTATTTGGATCCTTAGGCTTAGGGCTTACATAGCGTGCCAGACATGAAAATGCGCATCGCTGTGGGTTTGGGGGATACACCTCGAACCCTAAACCCTAAACCCCTTGTACTCCGAGTTTTGGCTGAAGTTGGCAAGCCTTCTGTAAGTACCCCTGACTTTCCCCTGACAACATTCCCCCAAAAAGTCAACGTCAAAACTGAAACAGTGTAAACCTTACAACTGAAGCACTGAAATTAAATCTAGACCCTAAAGCTGAAACCCTAAAGCCCTTAAACCCTAACTCCTAAACCCTCAACCTTACAACCCTCAAACCCCATTAAACCCAGACCCAGTAACAGTGGCCCCTGAGCAGCCCCCGTCGCCGCCACAATGCTTTGGATTCGGCGTGCAGTCCTTGGCTAGGCTGTACCAGGTGCTGGATACAGGGTCTAGGGTTTGGGGTTTGGGGTTTAGGGTTCGCGGTTTAGGGTCAAATCCGGCCAAGGGAGATGTATTCTGTTCTGCGGGAGCAATGCAGGGCAGCTGTGATCTTCAGAAAGGAGGACGAGGACGCCTGCTGTCGCTCGAAAAGCTTGGATTGCCGAAGGGTCAGTGTATAGAATGTACATACAGGGGTTGAACAAACAAGCCCTTTCTCAGGTTCCAGGCTCTTGCATTACAGTAGGCGGTAGACTTGTTGCTATGTGCTACGTTGTAGTAGCGACTCGTTCGACTTCTGGTGTTTGGTGATGCGTCCTTGTGCTTTTCGTGGAGCTCGGACGCTGATTTCATGAAAGTGGAGTGGAGTTGTGGAATGCACGTCCAGAACACAATTACACGGCGAGTTTGGAAATTCACGTCCCAAAACACAGCTACACTGTTGCCTCATGAAACTGCGAAGTTTCGCATCACAAGTGGCACAGAGCGCTTTGAAGCCGTGATGACTATAAGCACGCTACACTAAGGCTCTTTTAGACACGTGATAGAGTGAGCTGCCAGTAGCAGTTGCGAGAACCAGACCAGTGACTAACGTATCAGACGCCAAGGGGCCAACAGCTGGCTGAAAGACAAGCGCGTCGGGGAGGGCAGCTTCTTATGAAGCTCCGCCTGAGATCCCCAAGGGTTTAGGGTTTAGTCTCCACCTGAGATCCCCCAAGGGTTTAGTGGAGTAGCGTACCTCGTTAAGGTCCAAGAAATCAAACAACTCCGCCAAAAAAACTGGATAAAAAAGAGACTATTACACAAATCCCAAGTCCTCAGAAACTAGGTCCCACAGCGAATTGAAATCACTCTCAATTACACTTCTGCAATTCCAACAAACAACAACTTGTACAACAGAATGACAGGAAGCTACAACACTGCGCACCAAATCACAACAACCCCGTTCCTCTCCATACTCCACTAGGAACCCGATTTCCCTGCCATAATCTGGATTCCATCTCCATGTATGTATGATATCGTCCTAAAAAGTCCATTAAGCCCTAAACCCTAAATCCTAAGCCCTAAACCAGGTTATGACAACTCTATTGCAAACCCCTACAAGCAGGTTCCCCAAGCCGTCATTAGACTGAGGATCCCACAGAATGGCTACTTAAACCCCCCTTAAAAAACTACCAAGCAATCTCAGTTTCCATGTCATTTTTCTAGCCTCTGTTGCATTGGATTCTCCACTGCTCTAACCCTAAGCCATACACCCTTAAGACTAGTTTCCATGTTCTTTTCCGTTATCCCTATATAACCTCATATATATATATATACATATATGGCACAATCCCGGGGAAGCTTCTGCCGTGCAGGCACATGCATCTCGAGGGCGCCCGCTGCAGCTACTGCCCAACAGGAGCCACAGCCACCTCTGCAGCAAGGGGTCTAGAATTCAGGGCTTAGGGATATAGTTTCGGGTTTAAGGCTTAAGGTTTAGGACATTTCCACGCAAGCTACTATTGAAGCTCTTTCACTTACTGGTTCTTAGTAATCAGTGTGAAGGGGAATGTGCCATAAGAATATATTCCTTTATTCCGTACAAAAAACCAGTAAGTTACATGATGTATCGGTCCTAGAAAAGCCCATCCTCTGACTGGTACCACAAAACTCCAGCTTCCGGCTTTTGGAACGAACGATTAGGTCATGGGAACAAACGACAGTTGAATTTACAGTAGAGTATTGGGTCTAGGGTTTTTTTAAGGGTTTATGACTCACAGGAGGAATTGGGAGCTTTAGGAAAACCTACTGTAAAGTCTACGAAAAGATTTTTGTTGCTTAGGGTGTAGGGATAAAGGTCAGCACCTTAAGCAATGCTTTTGCAAGAAATGCATTCCCGCTACAGCGGTTATGGAGGTGTTGATTTGCAGTTCTCTTCGAAGTTTATAACAGGTTGGGACAGCAACCCCAGTGTTAGGAAGTATAAGCCCGAATACCTCCCATTTCAATTTCGTTTGCCAAGTGCCAACCCTGGAAAAAGCTTCTACTCCTGAACCCAGGTAAAACTAAACCCCATTCCCACTGTTTAAACCTTAACCCGGAAGTTCTAAACCCAAAAGCTAACGTCATGGTTTCAGGACTTGGGCCTCAATTCCTGAAACCTACCTGTATAAATCCACGTCCTAAACCCTAAGTCCTGAACTCCAAACCCAAAGCCCCACATCCCAAACCCTAACCCCAGGTCCTGAACCCTAATTCCAAGTCCCAAGCAAAACCCCAATGTCCAAGTCCTATATACGAACCTTAATAATTCAACCAGCCCTAAAACCTAACAATAGGACTTGAATGGGAACACCCAAACAGGGAACCCCAAGAATATGGGTAGGGATAGAAGCGACCTGGTAGGTATGTTCCAAAGATCTTCCTACTATGTTCTTGAGGTTCCCTGCTTAGGAGCTTGGATTAAAATCCCTTTTCCTACACCCTAAACCGGCCTCGGACCTTAAACCCTGAAGCAGCCCTTTTAAACCCTAAACCCTAAGCCCTAAACTTTATTGACCCTGTTAGTCTGTTAAACCCCTAAACCCTAAACCCTCTTTCCCCTAGGCCAGCCTTGAACACGAAGGAACCGGCTGGACTTCAGCTCTCGCCAGTCCCGGGAGAGGGCCAATGTGTCCTGACACCGATTGAAGATTTAGGATTTATAAGGTTTAGGAGCCCAAATAGAAGGTGTGTGTATATAGCTATAATATACACGTATTATGCAGGAGCTGTATGGGGATGATATGGGAATTATACAAGGCTTGGTTGGAATTAGATGCGCGTTCTCCGAAACTCCTTGTATAACCCAATGACATGACAAGTTGGGGGATCCTATCGCTTGTTTTTTGGAGGGGGGGTTCTACGTAAGATGAAAGAAAGGTGTCGCTGTTGCGTTCAGCCAAAACAGTCATGGTTGCATCTTGGACTGCGCGGTATCGCTTGTGGGAGGTCCTAGTGCTTTTTGTGTTTTTTTCGCGCGATTCCTGAAACTCACGCCATTCCTTCTCTTCGTCCCTAATACGCGGGTATTGACCATCGCTCATATAAGGATCATGTAGGATTGTATGGGAGTTATACAAGGGTTATAGGGGAGTTATGTAGGAATTATAAAAGGATCATATAGGATCTGTTTAGCACTTGTATAGGGATTATGTAGATTTTAAGATTGAGGCTTAAGGCAAGAACTGTCAGATCAGAAGGGGTTTATACCCCTCATCCAACTAGCTCCAAGTTGGTAATATCTTTAGGGGTTAGGGTTTAGTGTTTAGGGTTTAGGGACTGAAGACACCAGCACGCCAAGTATGCACCATTCCTAGACTTGGAGCGCAAGCGCATAAGGCCTGATAAGCCCCACAACCTACCCTTCAATCCACTCTAAATCCGAAGCCTTAAATCCAGAACTCTAGATCCTAAACCCTAAACCTTAAATCCAAAACTCTAAATCCTAAACCCTAAACCTTAAATCCAAAACTCTAAATCCTAAACCCCAAACCCTAAATCTTTTGGAAGTATCGGTATAATGGCCCATTCTAGCTCTGGCGTGAAACTTGGAAGCTTGGTTCTTTCCTGGGGTCTCGGCAACTAGCGAGGATGCACTTTTTCGGGGCGTACCCTAGTTTGGAAAACCCCCCTCCAAAAAAAAAAGTATAGACTTTGGAGGTATAAGTTGCTATAATAGGAACCCAGGAACCAAAAAAGCAGTAAAGTGTCGTACTCCAATTTTCGGCGAAAGCCCCTCTATGGGGAAATGTCCATAAGATGGGAGTATGGTGTTTGACACATGACGTAGCAAGTAGACTTGTGATTATGACCCCTAGAAACCACACAGGTATATGTGGACAGTTCTCGCCTTTCTTAAACCACTTACTATTCACCTACCACCCTGAACTCTTTTGCCTAAACCCTATGTTCTATGATAGTTTTCCTTTGCTTGACCTTAAAGAAAAGCCCTGAACCCAGATCCCCTGAAGGCTTCAAAAAATGGACACCCGCCCCAATATAAACCCATGACTACATTGGGGAAACTAGGGGATTATTAAGGGGTTCCATTTTTTGGGATCCCTTTGGGGGTCTGGGAAGGACCGCCCCAGGACTGTCCATCTGCAGAAAGGATGAGCCGCCTGGGAGAGGCTTTCAGTGGAAGCAATGTAGTAGTTTCCCAGAAAGAACCCAATCTACTTTGGTCCTTAGTATGGGAACCCACTGAAAAAATGTACCCCTAATTTTGGGAAACCTCCCTATGTAAAGGCCAGGAGTAGGGGGTTTGGGGGTTTAGGGGCCCCAAGCCCTAAACCCTGAACCGTGTGGGCTTAAGGGCCAGGGTTGGAGGGACCCCTAATAGGGACCCTTGTAGCTTATGGGGGTTAATATGGGGAGTACCTAGGGATATAGGGGTTATATAATGACTATATGAGGGTTATATATGGTAATGGGATTAAGGGTCCCTGTTAGGGGTCCATCCTGGGGTCCCTAGAGTTGGGTTTCAGGGTTAGGGTACGTTTAGTGGGGAATCCGGTTTCAGGGTCATGGGCTTAGGGTTAGGACGAACTTCAGAAGGGGAGTTATTCATGTGCGGAATTTATATCGGGGTAGAAAGTCATTACTGCATTTGGGCCATTGTTGTCACTGCCAATTGGTGGGAGGACCAATTTGAAGGGAAAAGAACATGGAACGTCATTCTAGGGATGTATGTTTTAGATCTTCAGACAACAGTGTGTGAGGTTTTGATTGTCTCAGGGCTTGGGCTTCACCTTTGTTTGGGTCAGGGTTTTAGGTGCAGAGCAGAGTAGAAATAGCGGATACAAGGATCATACAAGGCTTTTCTGGTGCGTTGTGTAGGGACAAACATACTTAGAATAGAGCCTACGGTGGATACTACAAATCCTGCATGACCCTAAATACCCTATACGCTGGGAATTATGGGACTATAGTTTACTAAGGTCATGCAGGATTTTTAATATCAACAGTACACAAGGACCATGAGTGAGGTGATACTGTCTACTCGAGCTTCTACAGTACTTGTATGTAACCATAGGACCATGCTTTTGGAGGCAATCATGATAACACGGGTCATTGTCTAAACTCCTATAGTATCCCCCATAATACCCCCTGAACCAGTCCCCTATGAAATCCCCTATATAACCCCTAAACCCCCCTTTACGGAGTTTAGACCCCAAACCCTCGTCATGTTAGTATCCCCCTCAATAACCCCGATAATAGTCCCCAATAGAACCCCCTAAATCCTAAACCCTAAACCCGATATACCACCCTTGAAGGAGTATAGACTCTGGCTGGCATTGTGCTGGCATGCTCAGACCCAAGCACCCAAGCAGTTGCTGCAAATAAAACATTTGGGTTCTATAGGGATTATATAGGGGTATCTAGGGTGTATAGGAAGAATGGAAAAGACAATGTAAACTACTATAATATAATGGGGTAGTGCTATTATCCCTAAACCTTAACCCCCACAAACCCAAAACATCCCTCAACCCTAATTATATCATAACCCTAAACCCTAAACACTGTAAACCCTAAAACCTAAAAATCCCTCAACCCTAACCCCTAAAAGATGGCCCGCAGACCGGCAGACTTCTTGGCATTCTTTGGTTTCATTTACCCAGGCTAAGATTGAGATTACATAAAAATACAGCAAATCAGTTTATGCAAATAATACTAGAATACGGTGCATTCCTGCTTCATAACAACGTTCGTTGACTGCCATAGCAACATGAAGTATAGCATGGGTCCAAGGTGAGGGTTTCGGGCCAACGAGCAGTTAAGGGCAGCCTGATCCTGTGTGCAGGCTCACATGACCACGCTTCAAACAGGCTTCTTCCTTGAACCCATGCGAAATCCTCAGTCATGGGTCCCTGGAGACAGGTGAACCTAGTTTTTCAACCAGCCTCAACAGCTCTCCATACAAGCTCCGGTAGATTCTGGCAGGGCTTGACTAATTGGCAGACTTACACACATACTTAATTATGCTCAGTCACTTACTTACTTACTCCCTCACTTACTTCCTGTGTATGAGGAGCACCTGAAGCCTTAGTATGCTTTTTCAGCCGTAAACTACTGCAAGGGTCTCATATGGTTCCCACCCACTTCCCGATTTGTAGAATTGCAGGCGCGTGGCGCATGATTGCTGCGCCTGCTTGTGTGGAGCCCATACGCCGGTAGCCGAGCATTGCTCGATACTCTGAGTCTGTGATGTCGGCGAACCTTGCTTCAAGCATGCAGCCTGTATGATCCTTGTATAACCCCAGAATATATCCCCTTCAAAGGCACTATATAACCACCGCATTACGTATAATCCCCATATAGCCCCTACATTATATATATACATGTACATATACATATGTATATAATCCAGGTATAGCCCTACTTCAGGCTGGTTTGCCTCGATCAATATTGCATCTGCACTCAGGTTGGCTGATCCCTTCCTACAAGGCAGCCATCAAGCGGTTTAGGGCTTGGGATTTAAGAGCTCAAAAGCCTCAAACGTAAACCCTCAAGCTTCTTCTAGCGTATACTATTCTCAGAGCTGGCGCTGGAGGGGCTTCAGCCTATGCATGAAGGCGGCATCTGACAACCACAACTTCAATACTTCAAGTCGCCTAGAGAAACTGAGGTGTCTGCAGCAACCAGAACACCTGGATGTTGGATCAGCGCGGGACTGGAACCAAACTAAACCCAAGGGCGATGCAACGCAGAAATCTTGAGTTCGGCTGACACAGAAGTTCACTTGCACTGCAGCAGATATGCGCAAGGGCTCCTTAATAAGCCTGCGAAAAGTTCATCAACTCAAGTCATGGAGGAGGACTTTTGCTGACAGGGTTTGACTTGATAGTGTAATTACCCATCACTTTTTCAAAAAAAGCTTCAAAAAGCCACGGGCTACAGGGTTCTTCTTCGAGGTCGGCCACTTGTTGTACCCTGAGCACTTTCAGCAGCTGAACACCTAAGATTCAAACCTTAGTCATCATGGGCCCCTATCACAATTCCTTTATCCTCACCAGAATATCCCCCCTTCCCAACTAGGCAGAAGCAGGGAATAAGGGGTTATAGGTAATAATGGAGAATCAACTGGAAAACAAAATGGAAAATGAAGTGGAAACTGCAATATTCCTTGAACAAGGTTTCACCCAGGGACTTGTTTAGCTTCGCCCACCAGAGCTTATCCGGTTTGGCATTCTGTGCATCCACCTCTGCCCGTCGCTTCGCGAAGAAGGCAAGCCTCTCCTGGTAGTTCTCTGAGCCATACTCCTTCGCGGTTTTTTTCGAGTTTTCTAGGGAACCCACAAGCCCAATGTAGGTACTCTTGACATATTTCATGGCCCAATGAACGTACTATGTGTATGCCTGGATGAATAGGGGTTTTTGTTTTAAGGTTCTGGGGACATTGCACCATGGTAGGTTGATGAAATTGCTGTCCCTTCTTGGATATAGGCTACCCCAAAAAGAGAGTCCAAGATTTTGCCAAGTCCAAAAGTAAGCGAGCGGCGGGAGACGTAATGAAGGTTGGGAGCAGATGGAGGCAGTAGACTTCGGCTTCGCTAGCTTCTGCTAATGTAGACCCATGATTCATAACCCCCATCCCATTAATAGGGATTTTAAGAGGGATCCTCATATTAAGGCTCTTAATATTGAGGGGGTTGATTAATCAGGGGTTTACATTATAGAGGCGAAGGAAAAGAATTAGAGTCGGCCTACCTGAGAATGGATAGCATCAAGCAAGGACCACTATATTCCCCAAGGTCCCTGTAGCTGTATATTACATATTTGGGCCCCGAAGCAGGTGCACAGGACCCCTTTGGGCCACAAGCACTACACGCTTACACGAAAAATCTCATATAACCTTTGCTTCCACTTCGTTGTCCTTTGTCGTTTCCATTTGATTCTCCATTAGAGTAATTTCTACATTATTTTCCAGTCCCTAATCCTGAATATTAACACTTACATGGACCCTTTGCCTGGATACTATGCATTGTGTACTATGTACCTACATGGACCTTTGGGAGTATTATCTGGTCCATGAAGTACCTCCCAACCCATGACACAAACTCCTCGTCGCGCCCGAACTGGTTTCGGAACATGTCGTAGGCCTCCATGCTCTGCACGCGAATTGGGCAGGGAACTTGCGCAGTAAACTCTTCCGGGCTAATCAGGACCGCAGAATAATTATGACTCTGATCCTTGTTCAGGGTTTTAAACCGTTCTCTTGCCTACATTTGGGGTCCAGGTAATCAGGACTCCCAAGAAGAGGCCTATAAAGGCTGCAATGTTTCAGCTAGGCAGGCAGGCGCTGGCATGCTTTAGGATGCACCTCAGTTGGGATTTCGCTCTCAAAATCTAGACTCGATGAGCGTCAGCAATCACACCGCTAGTCCCCGACCTTGTCTGTGGCTCCAAATCTAATAAATAAGAGCTGCGCATTGCACTGGAGTCTGCAAATGAATGCCTACTGTGGAACAAGAGGTGGTTTGTGAGAATGTGCAAAAATGCCTGATTTCAAGCCTCTCTCCCTGAGCGACTGCTGTCCTACTTTTGTATACTATGGTATGGTAATTAGAACTTTGCAAACGGTATGGGGATCTCTCAGCGCCCTTCCAGGCCTCCACGTCTTCGGAGGAAACTGAGGAGCCTGCCTTGATGGAGGTACCCTGAACTAGCACACTGCTTCGGCAGAGGAGCGCAAGGATAACACCGCTTTTCACGGAATCCATGGCTGATCGTATGTATGGAGCTACGGCGCGGTAGTATATGAAAAAGCCGGGCGTCGTCTACGCCCCACGAAACCTGACCTTGAGCAACTGAACTTGGCTCGGCGAAGCGAGAATGATGCCATGCAATAAGGTCAAAATTCAGGTTTACCCGAAAACAGGAAAAAGGCTAGCAGGCTTGCCCTAATAGAGCAAAGTTTGTCTGTCCCTGTTCTATGCGGCTGTCTGTTAAAATTTGCTCCGACGTCCTTAGTGCACACCAAATCACACATCACCAAATCCCTAGGAGGTCTCCACCACGGCGCTCGACAGGGACCCGCAATTTCAAGCAGCCCGCTACCCCTAAGGGTCTAAGAACCCAAATAATCAGGTTTTAGGGCCCAAATACCATAATATCAACCCCTATTATTTGGGTCCTTGGACCCTTAGGGTACAATACACCAACGACGTGACCTGCTTGGCCCCTGAGATCTGGGCTTTCCGGTAGGTTAGCTTCACCTGCTCATGTGGCTGTCTGAAGGAAGGCAGGAGTGGGGGAGCGGCCGAGAGCAGTATCAGGGCCTACACGAAGGTTTAGGGTTTAGGGTTTACTACACTATACCTATCCACCGGATATGTTTGGTACACTGTCAGACTGTCGGGTTTCCACGTCAGCTGCTCTGCATGGAGCTTTGGCCTCTTCTGCGGATATCGTTCATTTCGGACTTGAAGAAAGGTTTCTTTCTTCTCATGTAGCTCCACTCGGTCAGAAGTCTCAAGAGTTTGTCCCAACTTCTCTGTTCTCGAGTACCTAAAAGGGAGGCCTGAGCTTCATGAGCAAAGGATATCTATGCCGCCCACAAAGCACCACAAGCCATAACTCTCAACTACATGTCCTTCCGGGATGTCTTTAACTCCCTCCCCCTAATATTCAAGCCCCCCAACCCCCTAATATTAGATACTCCAATATATAGTTTAATATAACACAATGGGGAATATTTAGTATTAGGGGAGGTGGGGGGGGGTTGATATGAGGGGAGGGGATGAACTTGCATCCCTTGATGTCTCAGGCTCAAGTCTAATCACAGGCTTGACCCAACCCTGATATTGGCCTTTGGTTAGCTCATGAAGGAATGGATTCTTATAGTAGTCCCTAGATAACCCCATTATAGTAGTTTCCATTTTCTTTTCCATTCCCTCATTCCAAGCGAACCAAAGGCCAGCGATAAGGGACAACCACCCCGGCGGCCTGCTGTCCCAAACCTTAGCTCTTAGCTTGAGCAATTCTGGCTGTCCAGCTTGCCTGTCTTTAGGACATGAATGGCTCTGTATGCAGGGCTCACAACAGCTACCTGGTGAGATGCTAGCAATCAAACTACTCAATGCCAATATCAGTGCAAGCCAATCCGTTGATGCGAAACTTGTGCAGGGCACCTCCCTTCTAAAGCGCCATAGATCTCAAATGCTCACGTTTTTCGATCAAAGATTGACAGCGACAGGAATTCTGTAAGCGGTCCATGTTTTCAGATGGACTACTATAGTTCTCTAACCTGACTTAAGGCTACTTTGGGACCATGGACTGTATAAACCAAAGTGAGGTCGAGTGATGTCGCCATAGTTTGCCCAGATGTTGGGACAGGGCACAGATGCAGCGGTACTCATCGATGACTCGCTTGTAGGGCGAGATGGCTAAGCCATACTCCCTGGAACAGGGCCGATGCGTCTCCGGGCTTTGGGGTTTAAGGACGAAGCTCTGGGATTAATGTTGACTTCAAAATAAGGAATACCCCCACATTTATAAAGATCCTGCCGCCGGAGCACAATTATACCAAGCCCCAATTATGGAATCACAAAAAAATATTAGGTTTTCAGGGCAACGACTTTAATTGACACTGAATAGGGTGTCAAACTTACTTTTTTGACATTATCTTTTCGGGGCTCCACAAGGTTGGAGATAGATCAATCGGGCGGCGGGGGGGGCCAAAGGCGTTTATTAATGCGAAGTTAACATTAGGGTGGGGGCTTTGTTTCATGACGGGAAGGACTTCTGTGCCCAGGACAACAGGCTTGGTGGGGGTCCGGTACAGAAAAAACACAGGATTCCTTGGGCGGACCCCCCCACCCTGTAATAGTGGTGTACCAGGAATATACGAGGACCCAATATCCGTTATAGTCACTATTACAGGGAGAGGGGTCCACCCAAAGGATTCCCCAAGATGGTCTGAGAAAGCATACAGGCCAAAGTACTAGCAAGATCATGTTGAGGTCTATTCGAGGTACCCAATACTATACCATAACTACACAGGAGACCTATTACCATTTGATTTTTCATTGGGCTAACCCCTATATATCCCTGCATGGCCCCCTTGAAGGGGATCTTATTCAGGACGATGCCCCAAAGCACTGACACGCATGCTGCTAGGAAGCTGAACCCTGCACCGAATGACACTTACCATGAACACTCCTGTCAGAGAGACATCAAAACTCACCAGGTTCCTAAACATTGCGAAGTGACAAATGGATCATCAACCCGGGAAGTTTAATACCCTAAACCTTACCCTCAAGAAATACTCTGCTCTTGGTAGAATAGCTTGACCCCAAACTCTATCCTTCGCCCCAAGCTCCAACCCTAAGCCCTCCTAAACCCTCAGCCTCTCGTCCAAGAATCCGAAACTCCTGAACCTCAGCCGCTGAGCCCCTACACTGTAAACCCCAGCTTCCCCGATTCCATACCTCCCGATCCATAGGGCATCCCGGATGCCTTGCGAAGATGTGCTGCACTGCGGCTTCAACTTCTTTCCAGCAGCTGGCCTCCGCTTCAGCAAGGTCAGAAGGTTCCTGGTATGGGGGTTAGGTTAGGGCTATGGCTTCGGGTTGAGCGTTTAGGGCTTAGGGTGTAGGATATTGGACTGCTGTTAAGGTGTCCAAAATTAGTTTACTATAGCAAGGAAGCCCCATTACTTACTATTTTTTACATAATATGGTAACTTACTTGAAGTTCCTTAACAGCAATCCAGAATAGAGGACTGCTAGATTACACCATAGTTATGTAAGGACTATCAGGGAATGAAACTGTTCTCGATTCGGGGTCCTACATTAGGCGTCTTAGGATTTCTTTAGCACGATGATCTGGCCAGCGTTTAGGGTGCAGAGCTAAGGGTTTACGCAGGGAATGCGCATTTACGACAAACAAACCCCCTAGCCGGAAAAACAAAAACCCGGCGCCCTTCCACTTAGTTTTCAAGATGATGTACATATACATGAATACATGCACATATACATCTGCGTAAGGGAATGCTTTAAAAGACGGGTCGGGGTCTTCATTCTTAGAGCGGGGTACAAGTGGCAATATTTTGAACAGACCCTGGAGACCTTTTGAACCCTGAACCCTAACCCAAAACCCCAGACCCCATCCATGAACGGTAACCGAACTGGCTATACTCTGAGTGTCTCCTATTTAGGAAGGCTCAGGCCCCATCCCAAACTAGCCTCTGGTATGCGCATGCGAAAAAAGCAAGATTACCGGACATTACCATCTACACTTTTCTGGCTTATGCCTACCAGCCGGGGTGTACTAGCCACAAAAGAGCAAGATTACCGGCACCTGCCATCTACACTTTTCTGGATTATGGAAGTACTTCGGGATACGGGGCCCGAAGCCCTAAACCTTCTCGACCAAAACTTTGATCCTGAACCCTACATCCTGAACCCTTAGTCCTGGGGATCCAAATATCCCAAAGTAGGAAACATGTATAAACTTCAGGACCCAAGTTAAGCAATATTTGTAGACTTGGATCCCCAGAACCCTGAACCCTCAACTCTACCGGTTGGCCGGCCTTGATCACGTCTAGGCCTCCTGTGCCTGACAGGCCACAGGCCACTTCGGGCAAAGAGTATCTTATCCTCGCCCTTAAGTAGATAGAATATGGCTTTGGCCAAGCCCTTAATGAGATCCCCATATACCCCATACTTTATCTACTTCAGGTGGACTATATCTACCTAGGCCTGCGATCCTCATTGTAGGGTCTCCCAAAAAGCCCCTGATCTTTCAAAACCCCCAAGTCCTTACCGAAGCCATGAAGCTTGAAGTTCAGATGTGATCCCCGCACCCTTAATACTGAACCTTAGAACTAAAATAGTCACTAGTGCCAACTGCTAAGAGCCAATCTCCCTTTCCACCGACGGTTGCGGGTTGAGGGCTACCCGGTTACCCGCCTACAGCACAATAGCATGGAATGCTCCAATGTCAATGTAAGGAGGTTTGTGTTTCAGTAGGGGGTGAGCTTACTCATCCTCATTCACAAGCCCTCTCCAGGACCCTGGGTTTAGAGTATTAAGGATTTAGGGTTTAAGGTTTAGCGTTCAGGGATTAAGGATTTAGGGTCAGAGTCCCTAATAGTGGTCGTCAGGCCATAGCTAGCTGAAGGGTTTTGGTAACCGAAGAATGTCAGGTTCAGGCCTTCGGCTCCAGGCACCCAAAGCGCGTACCATAAACCCTAAACCCATAATTCGGAGTCTTCTTCCCCTCGGTATCCCAACCCTTTTGGATCCAAAAGCCCTACCTGAACCTTAAAAGTATGTAGAATAATGGCCTTTTGGGCTATACTAATAGGTGTTGGGCTATTATCTTACCTACTTTTGGGGCTCAGGTAAACCCTAAAGGACCCTAAAGGCTTAGGTGCTTGGACCCGGATGTTTTTTTCTTAGGGGGGTAGGGTCTTAGGGGGGGGGGGGGGCTTCGAAAGCTTTTTAAACTTGTCTTGTTTTTAGCGTCCGTAAAGCATGCACTTTTCCGGGTTGTTGGCAACTTCTCTGCAGGGAGCGTCTCAAGCAAGTTGGAACTTCAGCAGCATATGAGCTATAGTCTAAACTCCTAGTATCCCCCTTGATAAGCCCAAAAAAAGGCCCCCTTTCTAATCCCCGATATACCCCCCTTCTGGGAGTTTAGACTATAGCTCATGTAGACATGCAAGCGTACATGTGTTGCATGTGTTGAATTACCTCCAAGGGATTTGGAACCCCAG